ACAGTTCACAGGTTTAGTCCATTATCACTATGGTGGGACATAGTGGTGTGCAGGCAGACATGATGCTGGAGAAGGAGCTGAGAGTGGAGAAGAAGCTACATCTTGACTCACAGGCAACAGGAAGTGAACTGGCACACTGGGCATGGCTTGAGCATATATGAGACCTCAAAGCCCACCCCTCCAGTGACACCCTTCCTCCAACAAGGCCACACCTACTCCAACAAGGCCACACCTCCTGAGAGTGCCACTCCCTATGACCTTATGGGGGTCGATTACATTCAAACTCCCACAAGGAGCACATTCCAAACCCTTACCACGGCAGAGAATCTCTGCCGCAGGGAGCATGACTTCTGAGAAACAAACAGCTTCCTTTGTTAGTAAAGCTGCCTCTCTTTGACCATGCCATGAAGCACAGGGCTCCCAGCATCTCACTGACTGACCTAGGCGGGTAGCCTCTGCCATCAGGGGTGACATCGGCTACACAGATGATCATCAATCATAACCAGGGAAGTCACAGAGCCTGGGTGGGATGCAGGGAAGGGCAACGATAGAAACTTGTACTGTTTTCCTCGTGTGTCCCATCAACAGAAAGACCTTCCTCGCTCGCCCGGTACTTTGGAGGGGACAGGCACTGTGAGGAGGTAACAGCCTCTAACCAGACCCCTGGCTTTCCCTTCCAGCACACTCTATGATTTCTACCACTACTTCTACATGGTGACCAACACACTCTTCTACGTCAGCTCGGCAGTGACCCCGGTCCTCTACAACGCTGTGTCTTCCTCCTTCAGAAAGCTCTTCCTGGAATCCCTCAGCTCCCTGTGTGGTAAACAGCCCTTACCCCAAGAAAACCCAGAGTCACCTCCTAGTACATACAGTTCCCGGCTTTGGGGATCACCAAGAAACCCCAGCCTGGGTGAAATACAAGTATGAAGAGAACAGACAATGGCTGCCTGGGACAGGCCCATCAGACAAGCCACGCCATCACTAACAACCCAGGGGGACCTCCTGACCCAGCTCAGTCACTGACCGGTGCATACTGCAGGCCAGCCACCTAACACCACCTAGTGCTCTCAGCTTCCCAACTGTGTAACGGAGTTAAAGAATAGGAGCCGATGCCTAGTGACAAAGGTGTCCAGTGACAGCCAGTACTCAATAAACTTAGATTGTGTTACTTTGTTCTGTCTCTGTCTCGGTCTTTGTCTCTCTGTCTCTCTGTCTCTCTGTCTCTCTGTCTCTCTCTCTCTCTCTCTCTCTCTGTGTGTATGTGTGTCTGTCTGTCTGTCTGTGTGTGTGTGCACGCACATGCATGTTTGTGCATCTTATGTGGTCTTGGGTGCATACAGATGCATGGGTGGGTATGTCCAGGGGCTCATGTATATGAAGGCTAGAGATCAACCATGGTCTTAGTTAGGGTTTCTATTGCTGTGAAGAGACACCATGACCATGGAGACTCTTGTAAAGGACACCATTTAATTAGGCCTGGCTTACAGTTCAGAGATTTAGTCCACTCTCATCAAGGTGGGAAGCCTGGCAGCGTGTAAGCAGACATGGTGCTGGAGAGGGAGCTGAGAGTTCTACATCCAGACTGACAAGGCAGTAGGAAGAGAGAGAATGAGAGACACTGGGCCTGGCTTGAGCATCTGAAACCTCAAAGCCCACCCCCAGTGACACACTTCCTCTGATAAGGCCACACCTCCTAATCCTTTCAATTAATGTCACTTCCTATGAGCCTGTGGGGGCCATTTTCATTCAAACCACCACAACCACCTACCTTGTTTTTGAGACACAGTCTCTCACTGGCCTTGAGTTCACCAAACATGCTAGGCTAGCTGGACAGAGAGTCCCAAGTGTCCTGTCTCTGTCTCCCTGGCACTAGGATTATAAGTGCATGCCACCATACCCATGCATTTTTAAAAAGCATGGATTGTGGTAATTGTTTTAGTTAAGGTTTCTGTTTGCTGTGAACAGACACCATGACCATTACAGCTCTTATACAGGTAGAACATTTACTTGGGGTGGCTTACATTTTCAGAGGTTCAGTCCATTATCATCATGGTGTGACATGGCGGCATGCAGGCCGACATGGTGCTGGGAGAAGGAACTGAGAGTCCTACATCTTGACGCAAAGGCAACGGGAAGGGGTCTGTCTCACTGGGCGTGGCTTGAGCATATGTGAGAACTCAAAGCCTGCCCCCACAGTGACACACTTCCTCCAACAAGGCCACACCTACTCCAACCAGGCCACACCTCCTAACCATGCCACTCCCTTTGGGGGCCCTTTTCTTTCAAACCACCACAGTCACCGATCAATCTCTCAGGTCTTCATGCTTGCGGGACAAGGGCTTTGCTGCGGACGGTCATCACCCCAGGCCCTGCTACTGTTCTTACATTAGCAGGACTCCTGGTGTCCGTTCTCTGAACATCTGCTATAGTACTTTATGTACACATCTGCTCTGTGCTCATAGAGTTTAGGTACAAATGGCTTACAAGTTTCCACCAATGACAAACAACAGCACCCAGGTGCTGGCTGAATGGTGCCATTGCATGAACAGTATCGAAGATCTCCAGTCTCTAAGTTGGGCACAGCCGCTCACAGACAAACGTAGTCTACAGGCTTTGGAAAGCCATGGTACCTCTAGCTTCCGGTCAGCCTCCGGACTATGTGATGTTTATCTGTGGCAGCCAGCATTGCTGGCAGGACAATGGCTGTGTGGCTAAGGGAAATAACCAAACTGCATGCCGTGCTGGCCCCAGAACACACAGGCCCAGATGCACTTGGACAGCGCCATCCTGGACAAAAGGAGAATCCAGGCCCAGTCCGTATGAGCCAGGCTTAAGTCCTGTGGACTGCCACCCAGCACCAGGCTCTACTTCACAGTATGGCCCTGCTGTCAAGCCAACAGAGAAACAGGGATTCTTCCTGAATGCGGAAGATGCTGTAAGGGAGGCAGGTAGGGGGCTCTGGGTTGTGAGGGGCAGGAAAAGTTGGGGTTCCATCTGTAGCCTGCCTGCTTCCTCAAGTCAATCCAGCTCAGCACCCATGATTACACTCTCCCACTAGAAATCGGTGCAGTGAATACTCATTAAACACACTAGTTTATATACACATGCACCACACATATGACATATGTATGTACACATCACGTATCTCGTATATACCACATGCATCATACAACTGTTTCAGTGGGAGTTCCACCTCAACCCCTGATACCCTGACATCCCAAAGAGTCTGGAATGTTCTGGTGGAAGATCCACCTCAACTCCCCTCCCCATCTCTTTCCCTAAACCGGCCCCTTCAAAGCCTGCCAAACACAGCTCCTCCCCTAGAGAGGCACAAGACCACTCCCACAGGGTATTTAAGCTGCATCCCAGAAAACAGACACATGGTTCTTCCAGTCTCTTGTCCCAGTCTCCTCTCTGAGGGGCCGGGGAATCACCCAGGAATGCTTTACCCATTAAACCTGGGCTTTTCCAATTCGGTCTGACTCGGTTTAATTTGGATTGCTGCATCAGCAGAGAAGCCTTCAGGGTGCAAAAAACTTATCAACAACATACACACATCTCAGGCATTATACACACTACACATCTTCTGCACGCATTATGTACACATATCGCATAGGCACCATGCAACACTACACACTCATTTCACATGCCACACACACACCCTACACATCCATACCTCATCATACATTACATACATGTAACCACACCCACAACAATAGTCGTTACATGAATATCACACATCACAGATACATATCACATGCCCATATGTCACACACACACACACACACACACACATGGGCTAGTAATGTCTGAAAGGAGTAAATGGCAAGGGGCAGTGGGATGCACACAAAGCAGAGGGCAGGCTGCCCTGCCCCACAGCCTGGATCACTGTGCAGAGGTTTTTGCACAGCTTGGAGGTGACAGTTTTCCTGCCCCAGAGTCCTTGAGAGCCAGCCAGAGGCACTGACCACACTTCCCAGGACCCAGTCTCATGAGGCCACACCCCCCATCAGCCTCTCCCCACCTAAGGAGGTGGGCTAGCAGGCTTGTCACTGAATGGTAGCAGCCAGCACAGCACTGGCCTGAGACCTTTGCCACGGCTGAGGGGAAGGCCATAAGATGGGTCCGTCCACAGATGGAAAAGACAGCCCCAACACTCCCTCACCTGACCCCCCACCCCCATGCGTCTCACCCACCGCACTGGACTGAGCCCTCGCTCATGTCTGAGGCCTATGGCAGGATGGTACAGCCTTGTTCTCCCAGGCCCCTGGCCAAGGCTGGGCTCCTTAGCCTCCTTGTGCCCCAGCAAGAGTCCACAGAGGACGAGGAGGTGGAACAGGCTCACTGAGTCCAGGAGTGGCTCACAGTGTGAAGGCCGGAGTGGCCTAGGAGGAGGCTCTGGAAGCCGGGCCTGCTGACCTGAGGGGCTAGAAGACCCTGTCAGGGTAGAAATGAAGCAGCGTTGCTTACCTGGACTGGCTGCGTGGCTGCTAAGACAATATAACACAAACAACATGAGTGTCAAGAACCCCCAGGGAGTCTCAGGCTCGTGGAGTCTGCAGGTCTGAAAGCCGGGCCTTAGCTGGTCTCCTGGTTAACTTCAGCTGTCAACGTAATACAACCCAGAGCTATCTGTAGAAGTCTCAGTTTGGGGAGGGATTGCCTTGAGCAGACTGGCCTGTCCGCATGTCTGTGGGGCATATTTTGTATTACTAATCAATGTCGCAGGGCTCAGCCCACTGTGGGTGGTACCATCCCTAGGCAGGGGGTGCTGGGCGGTATGAGAAAGGTAGCTGAACAGAAGTGAGGGAGCAGGCCAACAAGCAGCATTCCTCCATGGTTCCTGCCTTCAGTGCCCACCCTGACTTCACTCGGTGATGGGTTACGAACCGGAAGTGTAAGCCGAATAAACCCTTTCCTCTCCAAGTTACTTTAGTATTTTCCCACAGCAACAGAGAAGCAAATTAGGCCAGTCACCCTCCACCCACACATCCTACCTTGCTTCCTCAGTTTCTGGCGGATGATCCTTGATGTTCTGGGCCGGCAGATCCATCACTCCAGTCTGCGCCTCCTTGTCCCACGAAATTGGCATGCTTGTGGTTCCTCAGAGGACCTGTCACGTAGGGCTACCTTCACTCTAGGACAGTGGTTCTCAGCCTTCCTAACACTGCAACCCTTTAATACAGTCCCTCGTGTTGTGGTGACCCCCCAACCATAAAATTATTTTTGTTGCTACTTCATAACTGTAATTCTGTTACTGTGATGAATCATAATACAGGTATCTGTGTTTTCCGGTGGTCTTAGGTGACCCCTGTGAAAGGGTCATGCGATCCTTAGAGGGGTCGAGACCCAGAGGTTGAGAATAGCTACTCTAGGGTCATCTTAGCCAATTACATAATAATAATTTCCAAATGAGGCCAGAAACCCGAGGTGCTGAGGGTTAGGACCAATATATCCTTGTGGGGCACAATACCTCTTTTGAAGATCATGACAGCCCCCACCTGGGAGGGCAGGGCTGCACCTCTGGATGGAAGTTTCTGTTGAACAGGAGCAGGCACAGGCATGACCCCAGGCCCCAGGAAGAATTCAAGAGCTCGCCAGAGTTTAACGAAGAAAGAGAGAAACTGGGGCAGTGTACTCGGCGAATGACAAAACGCACTCAGAGAATTCTTGTTTCTTCCCTGGACACGAAGGCTTTTAAAAATCTGCGCTGGCCTTTCCAACTCTTTTGTCCATTAAGATGCTAATCTTTTCGGAGCTGGGACATCTGCCCAGACAAGCAGATTGAAAAAGAAATGAGATCAGTCGACGACGACGCTGGAGGCAGCCTTGGTGCATGGTACTCCCTCAAATAAAAGCTGTCTGTAGAAGCTGAAGCCAGGTCGAGCGGTTCCTGTGCAAATTTCTTCCGTGCTGGGATCCCCAGACACTTCGCAGAAGGCGCAAAATCCAAGGGGGTTTGCTATCAACGACTCATGTCCATCATGCAGCCCTGCAAGCGGGCTTCCAGTGAAAAAAAATATGGGATCACTACATTTATCCAGTACAGGGCTAGAGAAGCCGACAGTACCTCCCACGATGGACACTGGGGGAAGTAGGTTGATTAAGACGGAAAACGGCTGAATGTAAACAGCGGCGTTACTATACTCGAAGGTGAAAGATCTACTTTTTTTCCCACCTAACATCAGTGTCATCTTAGGTCACTTGGCCTCTTTGTTAAGATGGTCCCAGTAACATCTGCCTCAGAGTACTGTTCTGTCAATAGAATGACAGAGTGGGTGTTAGTCACCTATGGGGGAGATGGCACACTGCAAAGACTCGGTAGTGTTTGCTACCCTTTGGGATTTGCTTTTTGCCTAACAAACGTTCTGGGGGAGCTGGGTAACTAGCCAAAGGGCAGGAGGCATGAGCCCGAGGATCCTCATTTCCATCATTGCTCACTCCACCCCCACATGATGCTGTAAGAACTCCAGCTTACCTACTGTTATAATCGCTGAGTCTCCGACATTTCTCACCTCTCCTGGTAATATTCCGGACATCGCTGGAATTATCGGGGCAGTTTTTCTCTTTAGGGGTCACACGTATCAGAAAGGCATCAACAAGCCCAAATGACAGAGAATAAAGCTCCAAAGTCAGGAGGTACAGCAGTGGTTCTCAACCTGTGGGTCGCGACCCCTGTGAGGGAATCAGATAACCCTTTCACAGCCCTTTCACAGGGGTGGCATTTCAGATGTCCTACACATCAGATGTTCACATTACAGTTCATCACAGTAGCAAAATTACAGTTATGAGGTAGCAACGAAAATAATTTTATGGTGGGGGTCACCGCAACATGAGGGACTGTGTTAAAGGGTCACAGCATCAGGGAAGTTGAGAATCACTGAGGTAAAGAAATCTGTGTCATCATGTATGTTCATGTCACTTAGCCATGAAGACCTATCAAGTATCTACTTGGAGCTCCAGGCCTCTAGTGACCCAGGCTGAGTGCAGTGCCCAAGGATTCCAGAAGAGGGCATCAGCTCCTGGAATGGGAGTTATAAACAGCTATGACCAGCCATGTGGTGCTGAACCTGGGTCCTCTGGAAGAGCAGCATGTGCTCATAACCACCAAGTCATCTCTCCAGCCCCCGGTGGGACATTTCAACACATTTGTACAGCATGCACTGATCAAACCCCTCCTTTATTGTTGGTTTTCGGACTTTAGGCTTCTCTGTTCTAGATCTTTATAATGATATTTTATAGGCTTGTGTTGATCACAGCCATGCCCCTGCTCTCCTGGGTGTTGGGCACACCATCAATCCCTCTCCATCCTGCCTTCCCCGCTCTCCCTTTTTCCAGCCTCTGGAAAGGACTGTTTACATTCTAGATGACTTTCTCCAGGTTCCGTGTACAGCAGAACATGGTGGTGCTTGTCTTTCTGCGCCTGGTTTCCTGAGAAGGTGTGTGTTGGTTGGCTGGTTGGTTTTTGCAGCACTGGGGGATAAACCCAGGGACTTGTGCATTTTGGGCAAGAGCTCAACCAACTGAGCTCCATTCTCAGCCTTTGTTGGACATTTTGATAAGAGACGTGATAGGAGAAATCTGTGAAACACAAGAAAGGCTGTTATTGAACACGTGTGCATGAAATTTCCTTTTTTAAAAAAAAATCACACACAAGTATTATTAGTATTGTTTTTGTTTTATTTTGTTTTTGTTTTTTGAGACAGGTTTCTCTGTGTAGCTCTGGCTGCCCTGGAATTTGCTCTGTAGATCAGGCTGGCCTCTCCTAAATCAGCCTGCCTCTGCCCTCCAAATGCTGGAATTAAAGTTGTGCACCATGTTCTGAGGGAGAACCCTTGAAAGATGATTGGAAGATGGACCAACTCGAAGGAAAGCCCAGGCAGGATGTAGTCACCAGAGAGAGCCAGAGAGGTAGACAGATCAAGTCCAGGCTGGGGTGTAAGACTGACCTATGTGACTCCTTGTGTGACTTATTCTATGCAAGGAGAGAAATTAAGATTTGCCAAGCACTTAGAACAGGGTGGGAAAGTGTTATATAAATGGAAAGTAATAAATACGTATTTTGTTAACTATGTAAAAATGAACACACTTTATTTGCCTGGCATATAAAATTGGCAGGTCCCAAACATGGAGTTCATCTCTCTTGCCTCAAGGAGCCCAAGGTGACCAAAGAGACAGACAGACATTGGCAAAACAAATGTCTGGGCAGAAAACTTAAGAAAGTAAAACACGTACTCTAATCACAAAGGAAGAGAGAGGTCATATTAAGGACGTGAGAACCAGAACTGAGTTTTTCGAGAGAAAGGAGACAGAAGAGGCAGAAGGTGTAGCTGAGGTGATTATCAAAGGCCAGGAGCACTTGGGAACGAAGGAGGAGGCTGGTGAGAGATCTGGCCTTCATCAGGGTTGGGAAGGTAATTCCACAGAAGCAGGGGGAAGGTGGGCAGCTTCTCTGGGAAGCAGGCTCCACGGCCCCCACACAGTTCCACAGCTGGAGAGCTATGGTTGCAAACCACCTACCCGAGTGTGAAAGGCTGAGGACAGTCGGCCACAACAGGTAGACCCATGATAGAAATGGCTAGGGCTGCCATCTTGCTAAGTGTGATGGTTAACGCTGCCAACCTGATAGGTTCTAGAAACATTATGGTTAACATTGTCAAGTTCCAGGCATGTCTGTGAGGAAGTTCCTAGATTGGATTACTTGAGGCCAGACTATCAATCCTAAATGTGAATGACTATGTGATATACTGTATACCCTAATAAAATTTGCATGAAGATCAGAGAACAGAACAAGCCACTAGATTAAACATAGAGGCCAGGCAGTGGTGGCACACACCTTTAATCCTACCACTAAGGAGGCAGAGATCCATCTGGATCTGTATGTTCAAAGCCACCCTGGACTACAGGAGATTGACTCAGTCTAGAAGAGAAACAGAGCCAGGCAGTGGTGGCACACACCTTCAATCCCAGCACTTGGGATCTCACACCTTTAATCCCAGTACTGGGAAGCACACATGCCTTTAATCCCAGGAAGTGATGACTGGGCAGAGAAAGGTATATAAGGCATGAGGGGACAGGAACTAAAGGGTTTTCAGCAGAAGTGTCCCTTTCAACTAAAGCCCCCTTTGGTTGGAGCCTTTTCAGCTGAGGAACTCCTTTTGGCCAGAGGCTTTCGGATAGAGAGCTTTTCAGGCTGAGGAGTCCTAGAGGTAAGAGGTGGCTTGTTCCTTTGTCTCTCTGATCTTTCAGCATTTACCCCAATATCTGGTTCCGAGCTTTTTATTAAAAGACCTTTTAAAAAAGCAGAGCAACAAATGACATCATCCTCTGGGCCAGGGTTCCATACTAAATGAAGAGAGCTGGCCGAGCGCCGTCACTCATCTCTGCTGTGGATGCAGCGTGACCGGCTGCCTCACGCCTCGGGCCACCATGCCTTCCCCACCACGGCAGTCTATCCTCTCAAACCCTTCCTCCTGAAGTGGCTTCTGTCGGGTAGTTTTCATAGCAACAAGCCCAGTAGGCAATACACCAACTTTCTCAACTCCGAGAGAAGCCATTTGATATAGGAGCAAGCACTCGGAATTGAATCTGTGAGGCCCCAGAAGCAGTGACCCAGCAATTAGGCTCTGTCCACACAGCAAGTGAACTCTGAGATCTCAGGAGCTTAACCCGAGGGGGTGAGGGTGTCATGGGTTCTGGGTTCTCGTCGTAGAACACCATTAAGAGGAGGAGGATGGCTGTTGTTTATGTTTATGGCTTCTATTTCTTGGGCCTTTCTCCTAACACAGCCACATCCTGGGGGCAACTCACAGGTTTCAGAATCACTGTCTAAAAGCAAACACTAGGTTGGCAGTGAGCAGTCTTAAAAACGAGAGCAAGCTTTTCACTAAGACCTTTTCATCTCCCAAGAGATCACCCGTGTCAGCCCCAGACGTAAGGGGCAGGTCCTGCAGGTGAGAGATTCCCACCTTCTGATGTTCCCTCTCCCTGAGGGGAACAGTATGAACAACTCACTTCTAGTTTCTCTCTGCCTCCTCTTCTACCCTTCTCCACTGCCCGAGTGCTAACCTAGTTTACGGCATTGGCGGGGGAGGAAATGGCATGCGTAGCTTGGCATTTTATACTCTCTCCACTCCAGGAGCCCAGCCACTCTGTCACGCTAGGAAAAGAGACACCAGTTTTCTCCAGGACTGTCCCCGGGTGTTACCAGCCGTTTTGTGTTTCTGACGATTCCTGCTTCATCTAGCTTAAATGACAGTGTCTCCATGTCTACAAAGCACTGAGGTCACGGTCCCCCTGGGGGAACCACCCCCAGAGGCTCTTAGTTTTACTTTCCAAGACCTGTCATCGTTCTATGTTTCGGATACACTGTCACTCACTGTTTTCAGATTTCAACCTTCCTTGGCTCATGAGATCCGGTCACTGTATCCACCTCCACACAGCGTCCCTCTTCCTCTCACTCTATGACATTTCCGGTGTTTCTTCCCTGGGTCTTTATTGTGTGTTCATTTCTGCGGTTCCTGTTTCCTTACCTTGTTCAACTGCCTTACCTATGCATTTCAAGTGGCTGTGGGGGTGGAATATGCCCTCTTTTCTCTAACTCAGTGGTTCTCAACCTTCCTGATGCGGCAGCCCTTTAATACAGTTCTTCCCGTTGTGGTGACCCCCCCAACCGTAAAATTATTTTCGTTGCTACCTCATAACTGTAATTTCACTATTGTTATAAATCATAATGTAAATATGATCTGATATGCAACCCCTATAAAAGGGTCCATCAACTCCCCCCCGGGGGGGGGGGGCGTGTTGAGACCCACAAGTCCACAAGTTGAAAACTCCTGCTCTAATTTGCTTTTTTTTGGGGGGGTATTCTATCACAGCAACAGCAAAATATCTAAAGAAGTCAACCCTCACCTTCCACCTTGACACAGGGTCATTTATTGCTCCCTACAATGTATGTCAGCCGTAAGCTTCAGGGGATTGTTTCTATCTCCCATGTCATCGCAGGAACACTTGGATTATAAACACGTGCAACCACATCCAGCTTTACTTGAGCGCTGTGGTTTTGAACTCAGGTCCGCACACTTGGATGGTAAGTACTCTGCTCGCTGAATGATCTCCCTAGCCCTCTAGGGCATGATTCTGATTTTCTTTCCCAAAGTGTACTGTCATGCCATGAGATGTTAAGCAGAGAGTCCCAGGAAATCACTGGCTAAACCCTGTCTCCTCAAAACAACACAATCTGTACCCCTCATACAAGCAAGAAGTGCATTATATGTTTTATTTATAAGACTGGACCAGTCGCAAGTGTTAGTTTAAATTAACTAATAAAACAGGGAGAACGGCAGAGGAGCCGCTATTTACAGAAGACGAACTGAACTAGAGGTCAGTTTTGTTCCAAAACAGGAATCATGACATTCACAAGGTGATTGTTTCATAAACATTGATCTAAATATTTTATACTTGAGTATTGTTTTCCCCTGGGGGAAAAAGGTTGGCAGTAAATCTTTGGCATCGACTTGAACAGGTTTCTCCTTGGACCATCACGGAGCACAGTGCTCATCCGTGTCTTGGCGGGCACAAGGGTTGTGTTCTGAATGAGTTTTGGGCAACCTCAGTGCTTCCGCCAGCTGTGGAGTGCTTCCGCCAGCTGTGGGGTGCTCCTGCCAGCTGTGGGGTGCTCCTAAGGCGCTGTGGTCTGAGATGGAGCTGGAGATGGAGTTTGAATCTCGCTTCTGACTCTTGCCATGGCTGGTGCAATCTGTTCATCTTTCAAATGAGAAGAGCCATTCAAGGAGTCGCGCAAACCACACAGCGAGCAAAGGGCCGCCAGGCGGCGTCCTGAGGCGCTGATCTAAACACCACTGTGATAACGCACACCCGCATGCTTCTCTCCGGTCTGCTTTCTCTAGTCAGGCCTGACTCTCTCTAAATGAACTAAGGTGAATAAGAAAACACAGGCTGTCTCCCTGGAAAGTGAACTTCAAAACGTTGTAAGTCTGGTTCTTAACTGGTTTGTTGGGGTTTTTTTTAAGAGTCTCTCTCTCTCTCTCTCTCTCTCTCTCTCTCTCTCTCTCTCTCTCTCTCTCTCTCTCTCTCTCTCGTGTGTGTGTGTGTGTGTGTGTGTGTGTGTGTGTGTGTACATAGGCCTGAGCACACACAGAGAACAGAGGCGAGCACTGGATCCCTCAGAGCTGAAATCACAGGCCTTTGCACACACGTGGCGTGTTACCTATGTGCTGGGATCCAAATTCCAGTCCTCAGGACCGAACGGCAAGCTCACTTACACCGCTGAGCCAGCGCTCCAGCCCTCCTGTCTTGTATATCACTTTGGTTTTCTTTTTCTTTCTTTTTTTTTTTTTTTATCATGTAAGCAATTTGGTCCTCTTTCCTTTGGAAGGCAAATCTTCGGTCCACTGCTACAATTCTAATTTCCTCCCTAAAGCCCTTTTGGTTTCTAAGAAAACTTCTTTTCCATTTTGCCCTTTCTAAGAGGTAGGGTATTTACCCTGTACTATTTTAATAGAGTCACATTTTTTTTCTAAAGTAAAGCAATTCATTTTATCATATTAAACTGGATGCCTTTGGGCTAGCTTTGGCAAAGAAAACTTGTAGGTGATTAAATAATTCTTATGAAAATGAGCTACTCTTTTGTTCCTGTCTCCAGATTTTACAGTTAAAATGTTCCTTTGGAATATTGCTCTGTAGGGAGTCACGGGAAATCTACTATGTGAAATCATCGTCACAGGCACCCGTGACAAGATAACCCAGGATTCTCTAGAGCAGGTCAAGTTTGTCCATGGAAGCATGTGAATGATAGCAGAGTGAGCACAACTTCATTCTGCATAAAATGGACTTCAAGATACCCGGGCATGTGGTCCGGCCCAGAACACAGTAGTCTTCGGGTTTTCAGTCCTGTCCCTCAAGGACTCGTGGCTGTGGCTTTAAATCACTATCTGCCACAGGACATTGTGACATGTGCCACAAGGGGCATGACCATCTCTGGGTGTGCCTGAGTTCATACACCCCTTGGTCTGGGACCTTCACTAGCCTCAGTGGCAGCTGGGTCCTGACGACCCCACACTCTCAGGAGCCTCTCTCTCTCTCAGATGTGCCGTCCGGTGAGGAAAAAGAGCGGCCTATCTTCCTTGGCGTTGGCCGTCTGGAACTCATCCCGCAGACGAAACTGCCACTCATCCTCCAGCTCCAGGCGGACCACGGTCTGGCGGAGAGAGTTCCGGTCTTGGCAGATCACACACAGGGTGGCGCCTTGAAAGGACAGTGACAGAGGCAAGGAGAGAAAGGGGTGAGTTCTCCCAAGAGAGCTGGGAGGGGGTCCCACTGGCCACAACCGAACGGCTGGGTGGAAGCGCCAGGCACCCGGTGGCCTCTGCTCCCTTCTGAGTGATTCATCATGCCAGCGTCATAGACGGTGGTAAGGATGGGGCAGGCTTGCTGGGAAGACGGTATGGCGGGCAGAGACGATGAAGGGAAGGAGAGATGGGGGACTTGATCCCAAATCAAGCCATCTCAGCTCCAGCCCTGGGCTCTCAGGCCATCGGCCGCTTCTCTCAGTTCAACCCTGTTTCCCACTCATGTGGGCCTTGGGCGGCTCGCACTTTTACCACATGCCCTGCCCTAGGAATTCTCCATCTGCATAGCTCCCGGCCTGCAGTCATCCATCCGTCTGTCAGGCTCTGTTCATAGTCCTTTTTCCTTCCTCCCTACATGTGTTCAGTCATCCCTGGAGGCCTGGCAGAGGTGTGCAACCTTTTCACATTGAGACATCACATCGCTGACATTTACAAGGTACTGAATAATCAAGTTTTTGGTTTTTTTTTTTTTTAAGTCAAAATTGCCCCACCTTGACGTTCTAAATAAGTTTACCATTTGGGGGAGTCACATTCTTAGCTAACTTGGGTCCCACGGGGCCCCCAGACCACAAGCTGGACAAGCCTGCTAAACACTGTTCCTGAGGCAAGAGGACGGACTCTATTCTTGCTAATTAAATGAATGAGAGCAATGAAAATGGGCAAGGTCCATACCACGCCAGCGAGGGACTGGAGCAGGCCTGGAACCACAGGTGGACAGGCACTTGTTTACAAGGCCCTTCCAAGGGCTGGCGAGATTGCTCAGTGGTTAAGAGCACTGGCTGCTCTTCCAGAGGTCCTGAGTTCAATTCCCAGCACCTACATGGTGGCTCACAACCGTCTATAGTGGGATCTGATGCCCTCTTCTGGTGTGGAGGCATACATGCAGACAGGGCACTTGTACACAAAAATAGATAGATAGATGATAGACAGACAGAGATAGGTAGATAGGCACAGACAGACAGACAAACAGATAGATATTTTTTTAAAAAGAACAAGGTTCTTCCAACCTCAACCACTAACAAGAAAAGGAAAAAGACTGGAGAAGAGACAAAGGCCCCTCTGAGGGGCCCCAGGCATCAACAAAAAAGGACGTAGAGGGGAAGGAACAGAGAAATGAGAAATGCCTGCCATTCACTCAAAAGAAAGGGCATGTCTTTTCTCCACTGAATGATGCCTGGGAGGTTCAGCACCCCCATTTCTGCTACGTTGAGAGTTGAGGTCATTACTGTCCTCTGAGCCTCAGTTTACCCACTGGCAAATGAAGATGAAGCCTAAGGTCCTGTCATCAGAGACGCCAGGTGCCAGTGGCCAGTCGAATCGAGGTCCAGGCTAGGAGTATTACCTTTCAGGAAATGGAACTTCTTCAAGAAGTTGGCCCCCACAAAAGAGTCACAGAGGTACAGCAGGAGCCCACTGAAAGTCATATCGGAACAGCTGATGTTTAAGGAGTGGGGCCTGGAGCTCACGTAACAAACAGAAATCTGAAAAAGAAGGAGCCCAGGAAAGGTGTCACCTTCCAGGAAGTACTCAGTCACACTTGGGACTAATATTCAACAAGTACCAGGCACTTGTTCAAACTCAAGATGGAGCTTGGGGAAGAGATATTCATGATATCACCAAATCATATCCTTTAAAAAAAAATCGGTTCTAGGAGGTTTGTTCGAATTCATAAACTGATTTGAGAATTAGTAATGCCTTGCCATCAGAACTGGGTTTGACCCCTAAATTCTGTGTGACAAACTAACAAACAGTGCCCTCTGCCTCGGTTTTGGCCGAGGTTGAGCATGGGTGAGCATCTGAGATAAAAGCTGGAGCACAGCATGGCCTCAGCATCCACAGGTTCCATCCATATCCACAGGTCAAAATCACCTGGAGAACTGAATCCATATTAAGTATGCAGACTTCTGTGACCTTGTGTCACTGAGCAATGCATCGTACAGCTACGTACACAGCACTTATACCGCAGTGGGTATAAGTCACATAGAGGTAATTCTAAATATATAGGAGGGCCACATGAGTAATGCTAACACAGCCCCGTCACGTGCAAGGGACGTGAGAGCATGCACATTCCTGTTACCCGCGCAGTTCCCGGGCCGATCTCCATGGATCCCCGAGGAACACCATACTTCTGATTCAAGATCCTGGTACTGGGCCACCTGTTCCGTGGGTTCCAAGCCTGGTTACCTGAGGTCCTAGGTTAAGGTAGCAGTCCACAGACAGCACGGGGTGGCTGTGGTTCTTCACAGAGAGCGGGAAGAAGCGGTGGCTGTGGTATTGAAGGAACTTCTCCAGTAGGAGCTGGGCGGGAGCCGCCAGGAACGTGTGTTTACTGTCTGGGGCACAGATGTACTGGGACGGCATGATGGCCACGGAGCTGTCAGACACCTGCCAGGAAGAGGGACAGGCCTCAGGCCGCTCAGACATACCCCAGGTAAAATGCAGCAGCACGAGCATGATGCCCTGAGCTCAGATCCCTGGAACCCATGTAAATTCCAGATGTGGTCACACACATCTGTAACCCTAGGGCTGGGAGAGAGACAGAGTCAGGGTGCCTCCCTGTAACTTACTGGCCAACCGGTCCAGCCAAGCGATGAGTTCTGGGTTCAGTGACAGATGGTAACTCAAAGGACAAGGTAAGAGCGGTAGGGCAAGGGATCCAACAGCAACCTCCGACATCTGGCTTCACATGCATGCAGAAACATGTGGGAGCGTGCAAACACACACACACACACACACACACACACACACACACACACACACACACACACACACCAGCACCACCACCACCACCAAAGAGAGCCTGTGAAAACTGACCAAGGAGATCACACTGATTTGTACACACTGATCTTTCCATGGAGAAAATTGATACAAAGAGAACAAGAGCACACACAGGCCTCGGAAACACTCCAGAGCCTGAGCTACGAAGCATCCAGAGCATTAGTTCTCAACCTCTGGGTCGCCACCCCCTTGGCAAATCTCTATCTCCAAATATACATTATGGTTCATAACAGTAGCAAAATTACAGTTACAAAGTAGTGATGAAATTTTTTTTTTTTTTTTTTTTTGGTTTTTCAAGACAGGGTTTCTCTGTGTAGCCCTGGCTGTCTTGGATCTCACTCTATAGACCAGGTTGGCCTCAAACTCACAGAGATCCACCTGCCTCTGCCCTTCTGAGTGCTGGGGTTAAAGGCATGCGCCACCACTACCCAGCAATAATTTTATGATTGGGGGTCACCACAACACAAGGAACTCTATTAAAGAGTTGCAGCATTAGGAAGATTGGGAGCCACTGATCTAGAGGTAGCCAGCTTCTCCCTGACCCCCCAAATCTTTTCTGTACCCCCTCCCACAACTCTTCCAGCTTACTGTCCAGACATCTTCCCACAAGCCCCAACTCCACCACCAGCATAGTTCCCCTGCTACGGCCAGAGATGGCTCAATAAATGAATCTGAAACCAGAGCCTCTGCTGGAGCCATTAATGCTTCTGCTACGGTTTCCCTCCAAATACCCTCGCTGACTCCTGTTCTGAGGATTTGTTCCCTGCCTGGCGGTATTGTTGGGGAGAAGAGAATCAAGTCCCACAAGTTGTCTTCTGACCTCTATATATGCACTGTGGCATGCACACATGCACACACGCACACACCACACACACACCACATACACACACACACACTACACACCCCATACAACACACCACACATACACCCCATACAACACACACCACACACACACACCACACACACATACCCCATACAACACAACACACACACACACCACACACACACCCCATACAACACACCACACACACACCCCATACAACATACCACACACACACCCCATACAACATACCACACATACACCCCATACAACATACCACACATATACCCCATACAACACAGCACACACACACACACACACCCCATACAACATACCACACACACACACCCCACACATACACCATACAACACACCACACCACACCACATACACACACGTACACCCCCACACCCTCATACACACATACACACCACACCACATACACGCACCACACACACCCACACACACCACACAAACACATCCCCCACACACACAGAGTCAGAGAGAGAGAAAGAGAGAAAATTCAACCCAATAACTTAAAAATGACCATGGGGAAATAAAAAGTGAATTTAAGGCACATCAGGGTCTTTGGTAGGAATATCTCCATGGTCCTCAAGTTAAACAAGTCCAACAGTCAATTTAAAAAAATCACAGTGGCAGTGGCTTAATCATTGGCTCTCACATTTGAAAGTCCTGCCACTCTGAGACGGCCTCTGTTCTCTTAGAAAGCTCTGACCCCACTCTGACCCCACCTGTGGGGTGGCTGTAAGGAACTGTTGTCAGATCCAGGTCTGCTCCAGCTCGGGTTAGGTCCCTGCAAGGAGTTGGTGGAGACTAGGGAAAGACAGACGCTGGGCAAGGACCCCTGCTGTCACACATCAGGACAAGATTCAAAACATTATAGACGAGAATCAGAGGGACTTCGGGCAGGGCTTGGCCAGCCTACCTGGCTTTCTAGGGGATATCTGATTTGTGTTTTCTTAAATGTCTGGGTCTGCTCAGGCAAGACAACTGGAGTCACATCTCTCCCATTTGACCCTGGCACTCTTGGGCAGACAAATATGGCCACTGAGCTGGCCAGCCTTGTGTAGGAAGCTAACGGTTCTCTAGCCAAGTGCTATCCAGTGGTGTGAAGAAAAGCCTAGAACCCAATACCCTGTCTGGGTCGGGAGGGCAGGAATACACAAGAAAGGCTTGCGTGGTGGTCTTGCACTGAGCAGCATCTCACTGGGTGCTATTTAATGTCACAGAGTAAGAGATTAGTCCCCAGGGCCTGGTACCAAGTGCCCAATGCTCTGACTTCCTTCAAAGACGAGGTACCACCCTCCATCCCCAGGCTCCTGCTTTCGGGTTTGATACCTGGGCAACCTGGGTTTGGCCAGAGCACCTGCCTGTGAGTGCCACTTACACTCACCTTGGATGTGATGTGGAAGGACCTGTGCCCACCCACCGCAATCTGCTTCTTCATGACGCTGAATCGATTGAACCGGCAGAGCAGGAGGCCAGCACTGTGCACACGAAGGTTGAAGTCTACATCATCGCATGTGAACCTGCACAGAGCCAGAGGAGGGGCAGGTCTGACTGGGCATGGTTCCCAGGCCCCCAGGCAAACCCATCGCGGGGTGGGGGGGGTGGGGGGGTGGAGGGGCTAAAAGCGTTAAAACACATGTTACAGTAAATAAGGGGATCTACCACTAGGTGGAGACATGCCCTCATCTCCTCCCTTTAGAGTTAATGAGACAAGAGGGTGTTCTGATCTGGTGAGGGGACCACCCCTAGGAAGGGGGGTTCACCTTGAGAAAATGTTATTTTCCCTCCCAGAATTCCAGGCCCCTAATTCAGCCCCTGTGAGCTACTGTGAGGTTCAGCCGGGTCCGCCTGCCTTTTTGAGTCCTGCTTCAGAAAGGCAAAACTCTTTTGCTTCTGTTCTGTTCTTTTGGATGCTGGCCAGGGCCTAAGCATGCTTTTGTGTGTGTGCATGCATGCACAAGCGCTTTTACACTACCTAACACACACTTTTGGCTCCTTGCTGCCCACAAGTGTGGCTGCCTGCTGCTGAGTGGTGGGTCTCCACGCCAGCTTCCCTCCACTGTCTGAGATTCACAGCTTACTTGCTGTCTTCCTTTGAAGCGCTCACTGGCCTCAAGCTTCCATCTGAGTCTGTTCATTGTCCCTGGGCCTCTGCTTGCATCTGCTCTTAAATACTGTTTATTGAGGCTAAGAACCCCAAGAGGGAACACTCATTTCCCCCTATAGGGTATGACGGCACTCTGGGATTCTCCAAGATTGCTGGTGACGCACCTTCACTCCCTTTTAATTCTACAGCCAGCAAAGACAACGAACTTGTTCCTGCATCCCCTACACTGCATCATGAGGGTGACGCGGACTTCACCCCTGTCCGAGAGTCTTATTCTAATGGGGATGGGAGGCAAAATGGAAGGCATCACTGAACCCAGAGAGGCTGTGTGTGCCTGGAACACTAATTACACAAGGACTTGGATATGAGTGCAGACACCATGAGGGATGCTTCACAGACACGATTCCACTGTGCCGTGGGGTTGATCTGTTGTTGTTTTGAGACAGGGTCTCATGAAGCCCAGGCTAGCCTCGAATTTACTATGCACAAGGATGGGCGCGAACTTCTGATCCCCCTGCCTCCACCTCTCAAGAGCTAGGTCTGTAACTTATGTGCTGCTGGGGATCAAATCCAGGTCTTCAAGTGTACTAGGCAAGCTACATCCACAGGCCTCCACTAAACTGTTAAAAAAAAAAGAAAAGAAAAGAAAAGAAGAAACCACAGCCCAGAGTTTAAAAATATTGGGTAGTTTTTATAGCTGAGGCAAACAGGTTCAAAGAGAAATTACTACCTACTCCGCAGGGCTATTAAGTGGGTGAACCTGGGCTCCAGCAGGATGACTGACCTGGCTTCCAACCTAAACACTCCCTCGTGGCCCATTGCCTGGCATACAGGATGCTCAGTCAACAAACTTCTGAGACTGGAAAGCAACTCATTCAAATTGCTTTATAGTTTTCTTTGATGGTGTGGTGGTTTGAATAGGAATGCCCCCCCCCAAGGGCTCATAGATTTGAATGCTTGGTCATTAGGGAGTGGCACTACTTGAGAAGGATTAGGAGGTGTGGCCTTGTTGAAGGAAGTGTGTCACTGGAGGTGGGCTTTAGGGTTTCAAATGCTCCAGCCAGGCCCAGTGTCTCTCTCTCTTCCTGCTGCCTGAGGATCCAGATGTAGAACTCTCAGCTACCTCTCCGGCACCATGTCTGCCTTCATGGCGCCATGCTTTCCACCATGACAATAATGGACTAAACCTCTGAAACTGTAAGCAGCCAGCCCTAATGAAATGTTTTCCTTTATAAGAGTTGCCATGGTCCTGGTGCCTCTTCACAGCAATAAAACATTGATGGTAACATCTTACTAAAGAAAGTGATTTATTTGTTGAGGAAGCCCAAGCAAAAGAAACACCTAGCACAAGGTAGCTAGCTCACTAAGGAAAGCATCTATGAATGAAGGAATGGCATCAAATAACTATAAAAATTCAGAACAATTACACAACACGTGAGGACTTCCCGTGCTACGGGCAGAGCTGCTCCTTCGGTGGCTGTGGTAATTAATCTTGATTGCCAACTTAATAGGCTTTAGAATCACCATGGGAACAAATCTCTGGGCCTGTCTCTGGGGGAATTTCTAGACTGGGTTCATTGGGATGACAAGATCCACCCTATATGTGGGCGGCACCCTCTCATGGGCTGGGGTACCATACTAAACGCAAAGGAGAAAGGGAGTCATGCATCTGTGCTTATCTCTCTCGGCTTCCTGACTGCGGAGGACATGTGACCAGACCCTCCTGCCACCCTGGCTTCCCCACCCTGGTGGACTTAACCGTCAAACTCCCAGTCAAACAAGACTTTCTTTCCTCAAGAGGCTTCCGTCAAGGTTTTGCCACAGCAGCAGTAGAGCGCAGGTGGAGTGGAAGGGAGTCTGCATCCTGCATGGGACTCACAGCCACCACCGGTACGGGGGCCAACTCCCACCCAAGGACCCTGTGCTCACCGGTTCTGGTTGTACTGTACATTCTGGGTCAAATCCACATTGAGGATGATGAAGTCGTGCACGTGGCATCGGGAAAAAGGCTCCTGCACCTCGCGGCCCCTCATCTTGCTGGCCCACTTCCGCATGCCGATGAGGGCGTAGTGTGTGATGTTGGGGGAGGCCTCAATGTGCTGCATGATGTGCTTCAGAGAGACGTTCCTCTCGGACCAGGAAAACTCCCTGTTGGGAGGAGAGAGGCCAAGGTCCCTGGGATGAACAAGCCAGCTAGGACATGACTTCCTAAATGCATGGTGTGTGCCGGACAGGTCTGATAGGACTGAACCCAGCGCCATCCAACCAATGGGCATGAGGTACCCTGGCAAGTACTTCATATTTACTATGACTTTGATGTGCGGAATATAGTCACATCCCATGTATTGAGCCCACATACAGATGATGGTTTGGTTCACCTTCACAATGAATGCTAACCTGGGGACTGATACCCTTCAAAAATGAGACACCTAGAAGAGATTTAGCAGCATGCCGTAAGACACAAGCAAAATCAATGCCGAGAGTGAAGGGTTCTGGGAGGATCAGGGCCAGAGCACAAGAAGAAGAGCATCATGGGAGAGCAGCAACGTCCATTTATTGATGGGGGAGGGGTCAGCTAACCGGGTGTGTTTCACATGTGAAAAAAAAATGTATACATGTTATACTTAGCTCTTGTATGTGTATACATTGTCTTTTTCATTTTTAAAGATTTATTTTACGTACATGTGCACGTATGTGCACGTATGGATATACATACTTGTGTGCACGTGGAGGCCATATGAACCCTTAGAGTGGAAGTTACAGACATTTTTTTAATGTCTCTCTCATTGTGTGGGGTTTAGGATCTGGACTCCATCCTCGTGATTCTGCAGCCAAACAGTCCTTACTGCTGAGCCACCTTCCCAGCCCTTGCATTCTGTATGTATTATATATCTCATTAATGACTTTTAAAAATCAAAAGAATCAGGTCATGGACAATGAGTCCACTTCTGCCACATCCAGGGCCCTGGCTTTCCGTCATGAGAGGCACACTGTGGTCCTCAAGGTTGAGAGGGGACCACCCATCGCCGTCTCCTGTGGGTCTCTGAATGGAGGGAAGGATGTGGCCAGGCCGCCTCACCTGCTCCGTTCTCCAGCACAGTTCACGTCTGCTGCATTCCACATCACACAGGAGTCATCGGAAATGACGATGAAGGGCCAAATGTCCTGGGGCTTGACCCCCAGCTCCTCCTGCCGGTTCCTCTCCAGCTCCAGGTTGTGGTAGCACAGCTCCTTGATGAGGAAGTGGGCGGCCCCTGTGATGGCCAAGCGACCTGACTCAGTGTTCAATCCTGCACCCTCATGCACAGGACAGAGCGCACACCAGACACACCAGAGCCAATACTACATATCCCTCTTCCAATGACCACTGACCACCAGCACGGAAACACCCCTCTATAGTTTATACACACATTTGTAGTGATATGTTGTGTACCCCAATAAAGTTTGCCTGGAGATCAGAGGACAGCCAGCCACTATATTAAACATAGAGGTCAGGCAGTGGTGGCACACATCTTTAATCCTATCACTCGAGAGGCAGAGATCTGTCTGGATCTCTGTGAGTTCAAGGCCACAGTAGGAACAGAGCCAGGCATGGTGGTACAAACCTTTAATCCCAGCACTTGAGATCCCATGCCTTTGCTTGGGAAGCACACATGCCTTTAATCCCAGGAAGTAATATGGCAGGGCAGAGAAAGGTATATAAGGCATGAAAAAACAGGAACTCTTCTCTTGAGGATGAGGATTTTGTAGAGGTAAACTAGGAGCTGGCTTGTTCTATTTCTCTGATCTTTCAGCTTTCACCTCAGTATCTGGCTCTGGGTTTTTTATTAGTAAGACTGTTTAGCAATTTGTGTTACACACATTTGTTCATTCTTTTTTTTTTAAACAGCTGAGGAAATGAGTTAAATGAATAACCTAGCATTTTTTAAAGGATATTTATAAGAAAATCCTAACACGGGGCTAGGAGACAGCTCAGCTGGTAAAGTTCTTGTCTTGCAAGCACAAAGACCTGCGTCCAAGCCCCGGGACCCATGGCTTTTATAAAGCTGGTCTGTGTGTATAATCCCAGCACTGGGTAGGCAGAGACCAGTCTATCTCTGCACCTCACTGTCCAGGCAGCCTTGACAAATCATTGAGCTCCAAGCAATGAGAGACCTAGTTTCAAAACCCAAGGTGGACAGCTTCTGGGGAGTGACAGCAGGTTGTTGTCCTCTGGCCTCCACACACATGCATGGCACCCACGTGTACACACACAGTCAAACACATCAGACCAGCTCTGTCATTCCACAAGAAAAGAATTTAATGTCAAC